AGCCCAGATCGTAACTTAGATGAAAATTCGATTAATTGAGCAGCCCTAACTTGAACATGTCAGAGCCTGAAGTCTTCGTACCTGACGTCAGCATCATGATGCTGCTGTCAGCCTCCGGGGGGAGCACGTCCACCAGAGCGTTGCTGTGCTTGTGTAAGGCCACCGAGGCGTTGGGCTTCAGCAACTCTCTGTCGATGGTGCTCAGGATCCGCACATAGTAGTTGGACCCTGAAAGGTTGACAACGAGGAATGAGGAGGAGGAACAGGGCTCATTACACATTTAAGGCGTACACGGCACACGGAACATCTCATCCAGGTTTTCCCAACAGACTCTGAAAGCCGGAACATGATAAAGCCTGTATGCATCATCTGCAGCTTCATTCATTTATAATCTATGGGTTTAATTATTTATCACACAGTCAGGTTAAAGGGCTTGCTGAAAGATAGCAAAAACAATTATTACTGATTTCCAAAGATGTAATATTCCATTCATGCTAATAGAGAAACCTTTCTTTTGGTTGAGTAGATCTATTAAAGTTTGCCTTTTTGCCCCCACAGTACCTGTAGTGGAACCAACAATAGCTGTGTTCTGGTCAACAGCTTCCAGGAACTGGCCAATGACGAGAGGGATGCTCTGTATCCTCTTCACCTCCTCCTGAGCGTGCAGGAACTCCTTCTTCAGATTCTTCTGCTCATCTTTGATGTACTCCTCCTGCACCTCCAGGAACTCGAGCTCCTGCTGCAGCTTCTGCAAAGACACAGCAAAAGCAGCATGAGAGCCTGCTGGAGATGAAGGTGGAGCTGCAGGTCACATCTGCAGCTTCTATGCCAAAGGCTGCTCGATGAAAACAGCCACAATAACTTCACCTGGATTATTTAACATGATGATTAGAAACAAAAATTTGAATTCAAACTAAGCAAAATGTGAGAGTGCTGAAGGACACAGTTAAGCCCTGAGCAGAGGGCGTTTTGACTGTAAACTTTGTCTTGCAGGGAGTAGCACAGGCTGTTTATCCTAACCACACACACACTGAGAGGAATTCTGAGTAAACAATTCCTTACTTGATTCTATAAACATTTTTTGAAATTTTTTTGACAGCTCTGAAACAAACCTTTTTCCCCACCTGAGAAACACTGAATGTTCCAAAGACAAAAGCAACTGTTATTAAACATGTTCACCCTGAACATCCTCTCAACACTTCAACTATTGGTACTGTTACTGAGGCCACGTCCACACATTGTACATGCTCGGCACTTTTCCTCGACATTTCAAAGAGCAGGAAAGTGATGGTGAAGGTTT